CCTAATTTAAGATTTCTGCATTGTTCTTCTTTTCATGGATTTCTCTGTCCACAGTTAGCAAATGCATGTGTGTTTTTTTCACTCAACATTTTCCCTAAGTGAATCAAGTCACTGGAGATATTCAAATGATATCTGACAGGGATAGAAAAAGATCAGCTAATGTCCTACAGTCTCTAGATATCTAGATCAAATCCTCCCAGTTGGCAATAGGGTATGTAATGAAACTTGTCCTTTATATCAGAAATTAGTCAAAGGGGGCCTCCCTGGTGGCACAAAGGGTTCAGTCTAAAGACTATGAAAGTATCAGCAGCCACTGCAGCACCAGTTTGAGCCCTGCCCCCCAGGGAGCTGACCTACAGGGCACAGAAGACCTCTCCTGAACGGCCACTGCTCCCCTCAGCAGTACATGTCAGTCCATCTGCCTGTTCTGCTCCCCACTCTGTCTCTGGTGAATCCTCTCACTCCTACACTTCTGGCCTATACCCCAGCTCTCATATACACAAATAAATAAAATAAATTTTTTAAATATAGAAATTAGTCAAAGGTACAATCTTCAGTCAGTGGTTGATAAGAACACCTGTATTCTAAAATAGTGCTCATGGCAACCACAGGCCTGGTGAACACATATTCCACCCCATGGGCTGGAGATGATGGATGCATGGGGAGATGGCTTGGACAATTAGGTAAAAGGACTAAGAAAATAGAGATACTTCAGATTGATATTATGAATAGAATATACTAATTCAAGCCACGGTTTTGACATGTTTACTGACTTCTCAGCTAAAATTGTACGGTTTCTTAAGCCTCAGATGAGGTTACAGCTTTTCTACTCTGTGACCTGGGATACGAGGCCCATTTTCACAGTCCCTGTAAGATAAATTATATACAGTCCTTGTAAGATAAATTACTTAAATGTAGTATTTTTATATTTTCCTTTATGATTGGTTAAAAGAGACAATATTGTAATTTTTATTCTTAGACAGCAATAGTTCATGAGTTATAAGATCAGCATATTTCAAAATTCTTACAAGTCACTGGAGCTGTCGAACATGTACATTTGCTCGGTTTTGGAAGGTACTAGCAGCCTCCTCCAGCATGTGGTGAGCTGCAGTATGGTGGTGGAGGTCATCACCACGGAGATCGTGGCTCTGGTGCATTTCTTTCGAGTTTGAATCTTACATTCCTCTTTATTAGCTGTGTGAGCTTGAGTAGGGGCTTCATTTCTTTTGGCTCATATTCCTCATCTTTAAAAGGGAACAACAGTATTTCTCTCGTATGTTAGTTGTGAGAATTATGTTAGTTGTGAGAATTCTATAAGATAATAGAAAGTTCTTAAATAGTGCCTGACAACAAATGACACTAGATTTATGGGTTTTTTTTCTTAGAAATTTATTTACTTATGCATACAAGAACTGAGATACAGGTATATGTGTGTGTGTGTGTGTGTGTGTGGTGGGGGAGGGGGTGAGAGGATTTACCAGAGACAGAGTGGAGAGGAGAATAGTCAGATTGATCAACACACCCTACTGAGGGGAGCAGCAGTTGGTGAAACAGTAGAGGTCTGCTGCACCATGTGGGTCACCTCCTTGGTCAGGGATCGAATTTGTGCTACAATGTCTGTGAATGGCTTCACAGTGCTAAGACTCAACCCCTGTGCCAAAAGGGAGACCCTCCATTTATGTTACTATTATTTCATATTTCAGAATCACAACACAGTTCCATTGGGAAAAATAGTTCTGATTTTAGAATTCTAATATCTTGAAACAGATTTTCAGAAAATAAGTGCTAAACTGTCTCTGGTGAGCCACAAGCTGTGCTTGCAAGGAGCCTTCAAGTAGACATCATTTTTCTTTATTAAACCCATGCATAAATGTTTTTGCTTTGCTGCAAATTCCAATTTGCAGGGTGGAGATGCATTTCTGAATGGTGTGTTGAACACTTTCAAACTCTCATTGATTACTTCCTTCCCCCTCACAAGAATCGCTTCCTCTTTAACAGAATGGTTTCACAGCACCTTCCTGAGTGTCCCTCTTCCATTACCGAGAAAGAATTGTGCAACGATCCTGGTGGCATTTCACTGATATGCTCTGCATCCATTCAGATACTTTTGCTAAATTTTTTTTGGATTGTTTTTTATGTTCCCCCTTCTCCATTGGAGAGCAAGATAAATCTTTTACTTGCACCTTGGCATAGGTTTATATACTTTTGGGTATGTTCTGCAAGAAAAAGAAGCTTAAGATACTTTGGGGACTGATTAACTGAAATAACTTCTCACTATGAATTCAGAAAGAACTAGGACAGTAACCTGTAGAGTTATGTAATTATTTATTTATTTATTTTTTAGTTTGAAGGGACCTTAGAGTTCACTTTTTCCAGATCCTTCGTTTTACATATTAGGAAACTAATATGTGTAAGAATTAGGATCACAATCCATTTTCCTCAACCAACTAGCCCAATGCTCTTGGAAGGCATCAACTCACTTGGGTAAAATAATTCACTTCCTTTCTTTCCAAGAGACTTCTGCTTCTGCATAGTGTGGTATGTGCGTGTGTGTTTTAGGGCTTAAGAGCTTGCCAGGGCACACTAACCAAAAAATGAGATAGTATAAACGAAGGGGAACATTTTCTTTTCCTCTTTTCTTTATTAATTGCCGTATTAGGGGGGAAAAAAGGTGTACTGGAAAACAGAGGAGACGGGAATCATCAAATCAGACGTGTCTTCTGGAATTACATGCTCCTTGCCTGCACGTTGGAGAGGATTATGCTGGCTACCAGGTCACTCGCGGGGCGCAAGGCGCGCAGCGAACAAGTATTTAGTGAGTTGCAGAGGGAGGCGCCGGCACGTGGCTCATGAGGGAGCGCAGGGAGGGGAGGGAGGGGCATGG